AGCCCGTTCTCTGGACGCGTCTCCCAATGGCAAGATATTGTAGAGATAGAAAACCAGATTCCTTTCAATATATGTTATAATATGATGAGAGGCGTATAAACATAAAGTCAAAAAGAGGAGGGAAAATGAGATGGGGTAGAAAGAGCAAATACTGTGAACATATTACATTCAGCGTTGTATTCTATCAAGCTTTTTTGACAGAAAGCAGAGTCCGCTAAATTAAATCCATTGCTAAATGTTTTGGGTATCATATATTTATATCTAACACATTCAGATAGCACTAAAGCAAATCTAGGCTTACTTGTTGAAAATTTAATTTCCGCCAAATATCGTACCGCCAAAAATAATACATTTAGAGTATATACCAAATGCTATGTATAACCACCAGCGTTTCATTTTTTTTTTCAAAAATAAAATCCACACGTCCCAAATTTATGCCCTGATAATTAAGGATTGATGAACTTCCTAATGACGAACATATCTGATTAATAATATCTTGGCTTTATTTCAACATAACCGTCAATTTTTCGCAATTAAAAAAATAAGAGGAAAAATTCGTGCAAAACAACTACACGATAAAGATTATTAGATATAAGTGGTAATGTAATGCATGAAAGACGAGAGAGAGAGAGAGAGAGAGAGAGAGAGAGAGAGAGAGAGAGAGAGAGATAGACTTACCCATTGTTATGAATAGCCTCCAACGTTTCATTATTATTATTTTTTTGGTAATATACATATAAAATCCACAAGCCCTGAATCTGTCGAATTAAGTGTGGATCATGAGACTTTCAAATAAATGATCATAGCTTAAATCCTCTGATTAATCTTTCTTCAAATTATATCAATATAAACAACAACTCTCCACAATTTACAATGTAATTGTTCTGAAGATTCCTTCAAAGGCAAGCAAACATGAAATAGATAAAGAACAAAGTCCAATTATTTAATTGGACAAATTTAACTGCCTTCCTTCTAAATTTAGAAGTCGAGCCTTTGCTTTAAAAACATGACCTCGGTCGCTAAAAATAAATCAAATATAGTGATTTTACCCGTTAAAAGGGATGTTTTTAAAAATCGGAAAGAAAGAAATGGTAAAGAAAATGTAAAACGTTCAAAGGTTTAATTCATATACTAATTTTGTATGAATTATACTCTTTGATATAATATTTGTGTTACATTCAATACAAAGCTAAATTTTTGAATGAAGTCAATATTATTTCTACTTTCATAATACTATAGGATGTTCATTCCTTTTTACAAAGACCTTTTAATGTATCCTCATACACAGCGGTGTATTCTTTTTTTCGTTTTTCGGATATAACTAATATAAACACATTTTCCTTCAAACTTACCATTTCAAGCGATGTGAGTGTATGTATTTATGTATGAACTATCCTTTGAAGGGGGGGGGGGGGGTTTCCAAAGTTGTTAGTAAGAATTTTGAAAATCGGTACCATTTCGTAATTTCATTTCTTTTCATCAATAAAATCATTTAAAATGAGATAAATTTTGAGAAAATGTAAAAAAAAAAAAATAATAATAAAAAATAAGATTTCCCTAAATACACATGTCGTACATGTTACTTGTTTTCAAAAAAAAATATCATTTTAATATCCTTTGGTATACAAAAATATTTTCTTTTTTTGGTACATCGAAATATCAATAATTTGGATGCCTCCTCCGTGGCTCCTGATGCTCTGCTCCTATTCTGTATTGTTTTGTGGACTTCTGAACTTGAATACAGCTGTACTGTTCGTTAACTCCATATTTTCCATGGAAATGGTCTGTTGCAAAATTCTATTTCGTCTGAGGTTAATTTTCAGACAAAACATTCGATATGTAAATTTTGGAAAGGAAAAAGTCTTTATTAGAATGCGACCATGCTTGTGAAATTGATATTTTAACCAGGTGTAAATATTTTCAAAAGTATATACCTGGCTTTTGAATTACGAAATGTTGAAGACAATTAGTTTAGATATTAATCTAAATAGTACATTAAGTTTTCTCAATCAGTAATTAATGAATATTTTTATATAATTATGGGAAAAAATTGCTTTAAAAGTTGTGGAATAGTCAAATATAAAATTATTAATCTCATGTCTGTTATTTAATGAGTTTTCTCTAATTTGCATCATAAAATTGAGAATCAATCAGAAATCTAATGGTCATTATATAAAGTGAATACCAAATGTGCCCAGTAGATTAATTTATGTTTGTGAACATTTTGTACTAGTTTAATAGCAAAATCAATTTAATGCTTAACTTTATATTGTCTTCAGTTTTACTTGTTTCATTTTAAACAAACCTTTATACGAGGCGCGGGAAAGGTAGGGTGAGGGGAAAGCACATTCTCTCCTGTATTCCGAAAAGAATAAAAAAAATATTGGCTTTTTAAATCCGTCTCTCTCATTAGGTATTCGTCTTTATCTGCTACCCGTCATGGTATTAAGCAGAAGGGCATTTGCTTTTTGATTGAAGGGCCAAAGTTTGATTCTTGTTCGCTGATCGCGACAAACATACTAGAAGATAGTGATTGATCTTTCGCCAAGCACCGGTTTCTAGAAGTTAAGATCACGGGTCATGCGGATGAGAAGTTTGAAACCGGGGTGACATCTCCGTTTGATTGAACAATTCTCAAATGGAGCGTGAATATTCAATTGATCTTCTCCTTATGCACAAATCTTTTTTAAAGCATTTTGTACGTTTCTATTATACATGTACCTACATAATCTACCAAATTTGATAAGTGCTAAGATAAAAATTTCTCAAACTGAATAATAATGCCATCGATAGTTTGAAGGATCCTTCATTGGACTTGTGTTTACAAAGAATATTTTGGTTATAAAGAAATAAAATCATTATATAACCAGGTCCAGTAAAAGACAAGGATTTAATGTTGGTTGTATTTCATACACCCTGTAGACTTTAGTTTCAGAGTGATTTGAATAAAATACATAATGAATCTGCTAACACCCTTGTTTAAACATTTAGAACTTTTATTTTGACTTCACAGCCTTCTACAAAGCAACCTATGAACAAATGTAGAGTAATCAACACATTTTTTAAATGTTAATTAACTGCTGTCCCTTCCAAACTAATCTTAAAACAGAAGTTAGAGATCAAAAGACACCTTACGTTCAAAAGATTCTAAAGAATTTACTATGTACAATGACACATATATATTATATAATGATTCAAAATGCTTGTAATTATTTTGCATTATGAATGTGCAATCTTTGCCTTTTGAAATAAATAAAATAAGGAATTCCTTTTTAATTGCCAAGTTCTCTCGCAGACAATGTTATTGACAGTATTGTTAAAAAAGGGTTTCGAAACAGCATAAGAAGAGGCATTTATTTCTATATTACAAGGCGGCATTATTATGAAAATTCAGTTACGGAATTGCATGAGCTGTAACATAATCAAACTTGGTGGTCTCCACAAATACATCTTTGTTGCGCAAAATTTTCCACTTTTGCGCATATACAGGTATACTTAAGTTGCGCAACACTATGAGGTATAATTTTAATATAGAAATTACCTGGCAATCATAGAAATGTTCCCATTTCAATATTTAATGTTTCCCTTTGTGCATATTCTCTGATTTGTATTGTAGAGTTTCTTACACAATTCATTTATGTCAAAGGTAAGCTCTGCCAATTTCAAATGTTCGTAACACAAATCATTCAGAGTCTTTTTTTCGAAAATGAATGAAAAGAACCTAAAACGTAAATTGCAATCAGAGAAGCAGAGATGGATGTCTCAGCCCAGTATCTTGGTTTTTTCTTTGAGTTTATACAATGACATTGTCAGCATACATAATTTATCATTCAGTAAAATGCTGAATGACGTTTTTCATACTAATTGTTAGACCATTATTTACACACTACATTGTCCATGAATTTCTCCGTTATTTCTAGATCATGATAAGGAGCACACGGCGGGTGTGACCGATCGACATGAGCTGCTCACTCCTCCATGGCACCTGATCCCACCTATAAGTCTTATAAGTCCGTGTTTGCTCTGATCCCAATTTGTTTCGTTTAACGAACTTTTGAGCTTGAATGCTTTCCATATATTTCATCTACGTATTTTGGTGTCTCATTATGCAGTTATCCCGTTTTTTCGAACCAGTTTATAAGGTAATATTATTTTTATCATTTATTCCAAGCTCTCTGATTGGCTCAAACTTGATCACATGATTAAGTATTTTTAAACAGCATAAAGACGAATTACTATTTATAGAATTTGAAATGCCTATCGACTTGAGGTTTCTTAAAATGGAGATAATTTGTGTGAAACAAAATAGTACTGATTTCAATCATAGCCAATACAGTGTATGACTTAATGTTTCTAGAAAAAAAAATTATTTCAACTTCTACTAATTTTTTTTTCAATTTTCTGTATTTGATGAGACGAAACAATGCATTGAATAAAGATCTACTTCATATTAAAACATATTGGATATGTGTGTCAAATATTGATACAAAACATAATCAAATAAATGAAGTATTTTGAATAAGTAAATCCTCTAAATTACTCCATCAATATAAAGGAAACACATTTACATTAAACAGCGTAATTTATTTTGATCTCTACTCTCTAAGTGTTTAAGGGAGAAAACTTTTTCCCATTATTTTCATAATTTGTTTTGTTAATCTATGTAAAAAATAATATAACAAATGTAGCCCTTTAATTCGGTCAATCAATAGATATATCGACTTCACAGAAAAGCATATCGACCTCGCACTTCGTGCTCGGTCGATATGCTTTTCTGTGAAGTCGATATATCTATGGATTGACCTCATCAAAGGGCTATATTTATATATTACATAATCATGAAACCATCAGAATATTTTCATCGAGTCTCTTAGTTAAAAGTGTTGTATACAAGAAATATTGTCTTTTTGCTTTTTTGGACCTTCTTGCCATAGTGTTTTAGGGTTAAAAACAATGAATTACCCTTTGTGGACCTTAATATACTTTTATTTAATCATCGAACTTTAAGGTTGCACTATACACATTTAAAAATTTAAACGAACTTCTAACTTAAATACTTCTCAGCAACTGTCACAAAAGTTTACCTTAATCAAAATATATCAGATAACAGTAACTATAAAAACTATAAATTCAGTGGACTTTCCGAGAAAAAAGTAAGTAAATCTTATAATTCACAATTAACGCTAAAACTTTGGGATACAATGATATCTATGATATTCCATCTTTTCTTCTCATTGATGTAAAAAACATAGAAAGGGTCTTGTGTAACCCTATATAAGGTGGTAAAATTGGAATCATTTGTTACTGCGACAATCATTGTTGTAATGTTTTGTCGGCTTAGATCTTCGATTTTCTCCTCAACTCTACTCACTTTTGACCAGTGACCGTCTGTGATGATCACAATAACTTTGTGTCTTTTGGCTTCAGATGAAACACCAGATGACACACCATATGAAAGAAGTTGAACAGCTGCATTCGACAGTAAACTCTCTATATTAGATTCAGATCTCTTCCCAGGATTAAGTTTCTGCAAGCTTACCAGAAATTGGTCGTCATGACTGTAATATGCAAAGTCATCTATATCGAAAGATATTCGACCGACTCGGACATCCTTTTTTGTCAGAAAATATCTATGGGCTATTTCTGATGCAACACTCAGCGAGTTCTTGAAATCAACTCCGGAAAAATTATTGTCTTGTATAATTATAACGTCAGTATTGTTAGAGATGCTGCAATCTGAAATTAAGTAGCAACGATAGTTTTCACTTTGTCTTCGTATGCTACCTTTATCATTTTAGACCAGTTGAATATCATCATAGTGTTACCAACTTATACAATTAGAATTTTTAACATTGAGCAATTCTCAAGGACTATAGTAATCATTTTTAAATACATGTATTCACATTTTATTTTCTATTAAACAATTTGTCATCGGTGCTTTGGGATTAAAAGTTAAAAGTAGAAGTAATAAATTCTTACTTGTACAATCTTTATGCATTGCCTCTCTCAGAATCATATTAATTGCGTCATCATTAGACGAAGAGAATACTAGTGGTCCATAGATATTATTCTGATCCTTTGACGCTAATTGGATTAGCTCGAAATGGTCAATCGCTTCACCAATTCCTATTGTGGTTATCACGTGATATGGCCACATCCGGAATCGTTCTGCTGCTTTAATGGCTGCATCTCTATCGGTTGAGAGCCCGTCTGATATGATGACGATGATTTTGTGTGATTTCTGTTTTGCATTTTCATCAGTGAGTGTCTTTTATCGAACAAAAAAGAAGAATGAAATTATCATGATCTTTTTTATTTATTCTTGAATAAAACTCGTAATTTATATAAAACCCATGTCAAATAATAAAAACTCACCTCAAAGCTTTTCTTCAGAGCATTTTCTGTGTATGTAGCACCTTGTGACTTGGAGTTGAGTCCTGTAGCAACATTTGTAATCACCTCTGCAGTATTATATTGACCAAGGGTAATTAGTTGTATTGGTTCAAAATTGTATGAAATAACTGCCACTCGAAATCCATCATTACCTAGAGGTATTCGATTTAAAATTCTACCCATATACTCCACGCACTTGTTTGTTTTGTTTTCTAAGCTAGAGGACGTGTCCATAAGAAAGACAATATCAGCAGGACCAGGACTGCAATCTGAAAATAATAAACTGATACATTTAATTAAGCCTCAGTCCTCTCTCAATACTTCTTTTGTGACATTAAAGTTATAGTATTGTTCTTATATTTCATTAGTCTGGGTTTGTTTTCATCTTGCTGCAAGTTTCGTCATACTTTTGCAAATTATTACTTCTAGTTCTTCTAAAAGTTATTTGAGATTAATACATCAGATACAAATATTATTAATTATAACACCATTTATAAAAAAATTAAAACTGATTTCTAAAAATACATGTTACAGAAGCGGCATATCTATTTGTAGCTGTGTTAAAAGTGAACATAAGACACGAGACGTCATTTTGGTTACTTCTATAGAATATTCCCTTTAAAATATAGATAAATGATTATAAAAATAGTTTATTTTATCTCAATTACTGTTATAAACGCATATCAATGTTTTTAAAGTAATTTTTAATCAGACAATTTGCGATTTTATTTACTTTTTTTTTTACATGTAATATTTCTAGCATTGGAGCATATACATGTAGTAATCTGGCATAAAGAAGAACACTGACTGATATTTTTTCATACTAATTGTCAAGACATAAATCACATTGCAAATTGACTGATGATTTTTATTTTTTTTTTTTTAATTATTACAAGGTTTATTCACACGACGAAACTGACCGATCGACAAAGGATACTTAATCCTTCATCTGACTCCATCCCTGATGATTTTAGAGATTTGTGTTTGCTCTGATTCTCATTTTGATTGTTTAAATGGACATCTGAGCATGATTTCTCTTTGTTATTTTCACATTTCATTATAGCAACTCCATACTATCGAGAGCATAAAGAATATTCGAAACTTAAAAAAATGTAATGGATTTTATTTTGAAAATTTTGTTCGAATAACAAAAGAAATAATTTTATACTTTAAATTCATTGTTATGCACATCATCAGCCTACAGAAATAATCGGTATCTCACATGGATATTATAATCAGCAGCTGTAACGTTAGCAATCGATTTGGTGCTTTGCAAAAAACATATCATTTTGGAGTGTCCTTTCAGTAGCATAATAAAAGGATCATCACCGGATACCCACGGATGATCTCATGTTTAATTTACTTATCACTCGTGGTAAAACTCGCTAAAATATCGTTGTTTATTATGCAAATTCGTTAAATATAGTCAATCTATCAGAAAGTTGGAACTCCTCAATTTTAAAAATACGCTTATAAGTTTGCTATGATGATTATTTTGAAAATATCGTGATCCCGGTAAAAATTTTGGATTATTAGATACCATTCAGAGTTAATACCGATCGAAGTACCTTTCTCAAACTGCTAAATGCACCGGCGAATGGATTTGTTTGCAATCGATGTGCATATTCGTAAACTACGAAATATGTGTGTGCATTGCCGAAAATACCGAACGTAATCCAAAATGTGATTCGTTGATTTGCCATCATAATTCTGTGCAGCAGCTAATCAAATAACCCGTGCATATTAATTACATGCTAAAATATTTCGGTGAGTTTGCCCATGGGTGATAGGTGTAAAAACGAGATAAACCCGTGGATAGTCGACGGTGTAAAAGGATCATCGTCAGAATTTTTTTAATTTGCCTTACCTATATTGCAATTGTGTTTATTGCTGAAGGTCAGATCACATTCACATGTATACGCCAATCCCATTGGTGTACACGTTCCATTGTTCATACAAGGCGAGGGAAAACATGCGTTATCTATATTTTGAAACATTTCAAATTAGATTTCATTCATTTCTTTTATCACTATAAATTTTTAAAATGCTTGTGAAGTTTAAAAATTAAATTTCAAGATAACATTTACAAAGCAATCATAGTTTAAAGTACGTTAAGAAAAACAAAACTGAAATGTCATTATGTTCAACTGAATTCTAAAAAAACGTGTAAAAATTTCCCTTTAAGATCATACTAGTTCAGAAATTTACAAGGTGAACCATTTCGGAGAGCAAACATGTAAATTATAGATATTTACAATTTCAAAAGATTTGAAGATGTTTGTTTTGAAAAATTAATCATTCAAATTTCAGTCTTCTGTTTTGATTTTAATAATCATACAGTTGATTGCTTACACTGACAAACAAAACCCTTTAGACTGTTACAAGGAATATCATTCCATTTTCCATTGTACCCGCGAAGTTCAAGGCAATCTTCGTTTCCTTTGAGGTTGTTTGGTTCATCTGAAGAAGATGTAAGATATCAAAAAGAAACATACACTGTATTTGTCTACAAGACAATATATAAACAACAAATATAAAGGTAAAAACCGAACAGTGATCGATCTAAAAAAAAAAATCCATAAACAATACAAATATGTGAAGAGGGCATCATATAAAACACGAACACCTAGAAATTAAAGAGGTGGGATCGGGTGCCTGAGGGGAGCAAATATCCCCTGTTGACTAGCAACGTCCCAATATATTTTATCTACTTCTAGCCGGGTGTTAATTCACTCAATCTTTTGCATGATTTGGAATTTTGTTTCCGGTTTGAATCCATTTGGAAAGTATATGTAGGAGAAATGTGAGGAACTTGTATTTATACCTGACAGCATATCACAACTAAACCCCACGATAAACGTGATGACTTCAACTTCCCTTCGGAAATTTCCTTATGTTTGTAGTTTATGTCTACCAGTTGATTCAAAATGCAAGAGCCTACCTTTAAAGAATTTCATAAACAAGGCATCCTATTGACAATCAAGCTGATGAAGATAAATATAATCAGTGTCGTTTAAATACCGGTATATTGCAAATTATTTGGTCGATGCAGTGACCTTATCTACGTTAAAGGGAACTTTGTTAAAACCTTTTTTTGTGTTTGGTAGTCCCATTTTCGAGGTCTCTAATAAAAGTACATGTATCAATTCAAAGAAAAAAATCTTCTATAGATATTATCATAATTTTATACAAGCATAAAGATGTAGAACGAATTCAGGATTGTTTATATTCTGGAAGGAATGAGGTCTAAGTTAAGGTCAAAATAAGGATTAATTTTTTTTTAAGAAAGTCAATATTTTTAATTTATTAGTACTCGTTTGAATGGACAAAAAAGCAAAACAAGCAAAAGAGAAAAATACCTGACAGACTCCACTGTGTATCTGATACACTGATAGGTCACACCAAAAAGGCAATGTGCCTTATAGGGGATATTGTGAAGAAATGTAAGGGGTTGTAAAGAAAACATGCCTAACCTGGCTCCCAGCGTGGATCTGATCTATTAATTGGGGTTCCATCTAACCAAATAAACTCTCCACCGTCAGATTTCCTACCCCCTATGTAATACTTTCCAGAATTAAGGTACTCTAAAGAAATTATAATGAATTATATGAACTCAAACTCAAACAATTTTTATTAAAAAATAAAAAAAAAATGCTCAGATTTGATGATGAAATTAATTTTACTCACTAAGGAGGAAGTTCTGATCTTCATCAAAACGTGCAATCGCTACTGATCCCCCGAAATTTTTACACCGCTTTTCTGCCTCAGACCAGGTTACTTTTTTGTCTTCAAAAAAATATGCCAGTCCATTGTCTTGACGAGTCTCCCAGTGGCACAGTATTGTAGGGGTGGAAAAGATGATTCCTTTAAATATTTAAATATTAAATATAAGTGTTGATTTAGTGAAAGGGATGTGAAAGAGAGAGAGAGAGAGAGAGAGAGAGAGAGAGAGAGAGAGAGAACTTACCGAATGTTATGAAGAGCTTCCAATGTTTCATTTTCATAATGTATTATACAAAAATCCAAAAAGCCTAAATATAGAATGAAAATTGTGAGCACGTGATTGTCGAATAACAATAATATTTTAAATTATCTGATCAACGATATTATTATTTCAATATTAAATTCAACTGATTTACAATTGAATCAATCTATTAAAAAACTTCTTTCAATGGTAAACAAAATACATGAAAAGATAAATGAACAAAGTCCTATTAATCTATCGATCAAATTTATATAACCTCCTTCTAAATACAAAACATGCACATTTGCTTTAAAGACCGAAATTTGGTTGCTAAAAATAAATTTGAAGAAAGATTTAATTTAGATAACATATTTCAAGTAATTTTGTCCGACCGTAGGCGGTGTTATTTTAATGAGGAACGAAAAAAATTAGATTAAGAAAGTACAATGGCGGGAAATGCTAAGTTTGCATGAATTGAATAATAGATTATGATTGGTGCTTTATTTGTTCTACAAATACATTTTGGTAAGACGTCATTATTTTAAATTTTCATTTCATAAGTATGAACATACACTTTTAAGAGGTGGCTTGCAGGTTGGCAAATCACTTCATACGCTAAATGTACTCTTGTTTCGTCTCACTGATATTACCGGTCCAAACATATAAATTTTACTTTAAAATATTCCACTTTTGTATCCTAAGGCTTGCTTTGTGCAGGGAGCAGGGGACCGGAGGCAGGGTTAATGCGCAATCGTTAATGAGAATAAAAGGGGAAATCTGTGGAACTACCAACTAAATAGTCTCAATATGCACACCGTTATATGATATTTTTCTCCATGTCCAAAAAGCACTTTTTGTTAGTGTTTAGAGTTTCCTTAAGTAAGAGATCAAAGGCACCTCAAGTTTAAAATTTTCTAAAGAATTTACTTTGTTGAATGACATCTAGATAATAGTTTAAAGGGCTTGTAATTATTTTGCACGCAGTCTTTGCACTTGGGTAATAAAGAAAATAGAAATTCCTTTTTAAATTCTAACTTCTCTCGCAGACTACGATATTCTTGATATCCCGGTTTCAAACCACCACAAAAAGTGGCATATATCTTATTACAAGGGGCAGAGTTTGTTACACGATTTATTTATGACAAATGGAAACTCTGCCTATTTCAGATGTTCCTCAAACAAATCTGGTGACTTTAAACGCATTCGAATTGCGTCGATTGAACGTATCAAACACACAGCTTATCTGAGCAGTAAAATATGTAGATTTTAGTTGGATAGAGAAAAAGAAACGAGACCATCTTGCATAGGGCTAACATTTAGTTTGGATACATACAAACAATAGAGCCTTATGACAAGTCGAAGATGACTAAAAAGAAACTACAACGCAAATTGCTTTAAAAATGGCAGAGAAGTCTCAGCCCCAGAGTCGATAAAGATCATGAGATTTTAAGCAAACTCAATTTATCATCAAGTCAAATGTTGAAAGACGCTTTTCATCTTAATTGTTAGACCATTCTTTACACACTGAACACTGGGGGTGCCCACTACTCCATGGCATCTTAATTATCCATCTTTGATTTTTAGAGGTTTTTTGGTTGCTCTGCTATAAAATTTGTATTGTTAATGAACTCTTCAATACTGTTTTTATCTCTATATACTAGTATTTCATTTATGCATTTTGGTGTTGTTAATGCAGTTCTCAAGTTCTTTCAGAACATTTCGATCGTGTCGCTTTATTTAAAGCGTTTGTATACAAAAAAGTTTCTGCTTTTTGGGGACCTTTTTTCGTAGTGTTTTGGGGTTAAAACAGTTGTTGCACCCTGTAGTAGGCCTGGAATTTTTTTACGCTATATGATCAACGAATTTCAAGGCTATACAGATATTAAAATTTCAAAGAAATTCCAGGTTCAGTACTTCTCATCAACTGTCACAAGAAAGTGTACCTTAATCAGAATATAACAGATAAAAGTAGTTGTAAAAACTATATATTCAGTGGACTTTCCTAAAATAAAAGTATGCTTTAAAATTCACAACTAACTCTAAAACTATGGGATACAGTGATATCTATGATATTCCATCTTTTCTTCTCATTGATGTGAAATTCATAAAAAGGGTCTTGTATAACTCTGTATAAGGTGGTAAAATTAGAATCCTCCGCGACCGCGACGATGTGATGTTTTGTCGGCTTAGATCTTCCATTTTCTCTTCTACTCTGCTCACGTTTGACCAATGACCATCTGTTATAATGACAATAACTTTGTTCCTGTCCACACCAGATGAGAGGAGTTGAATTGATGCATCAGTCAGTAAACATTAAAATCCAATTTTTTCCAGCGATTAGGATTTTGTAAGTTTGCTAGAAACTGTCCGTCATGACTGTAATAAGCAAATTCGTTCACATCAAAAGATATTCGACCAAGTCTGATATCATTTTTCGTAAGAATGTATCTGTGAGCTATTTCTGTTGCAACACTCAGTGAGTACTGGAAGACAACTCCAGTCAATGAATTGTCCTGAATAATTATGACGTCAGTTTTGTTAGAGACACTGCAATCTGAAAACAAGTAAATTTTTTAATATAAGACGATGCTTTTTTGTCTCCTATATTTTGCATATATATTAAAACCGTTCAACAAATATTAACTTTTAACAATTGCTAGGCATAATTACATTTTCTAATAAATTGTCAAATACTTCACCGTCAAAGCTTTAATTATCATATTTAAATTCTAAATTCCAAGACTTCTAGGCAGGGATGCATGTTTATATGTTCTTCAGAAACACAATAACAATAAAGTAAATCTAATCAAACCTTACTTGAACAATCTTCGTGCACAGTCTTTTTTAAGATCATATTTATTACGTCATCATTAGACGAAGAGAATACTAAAGGCCCATAGATGTCCATCAGATTGAACTTTTTCTCAGAGCTTTTCCGGTGTATGTGGATCCCTTTGTTTCAAATAGGATTCTCGTCATTTCTTCTTTAATCGTTTCTGCTTTTTGATATTGGCCAAGTGTGATGTGTTCCAATGGTTCGAAGTCGTATGAAACAACCGCCATTCGAAATCCTTCATTGCCTAGAGGTAGTCGATCTATAATTCTATTCATATACTCTAAACATTTATTTGTTTTGTTTTCTAAACTTGACGAGGTGTCCACAACAAAAACAATATCAGCAGGTCCGGGATTGCAATCTAAAAGTATTTGTCACACAAGATTGTTTTTAAGAGTTTGCATGACTAAGATAATCAACATATTTAGAACGTATGAGCATGACAAGTAATAAATCGTTTGTCTTTTGGGAAGAGAAAAGGGGAATAAATATTTCATTAGGCCAAATTTTTTTATTAGTTGTTTTACGGATCCGCCGACCCCATTTTCCTAAGTTTTGGAAAAAAAATAAAAATTCCATTCAATCCTTTTTTTATAATCGCCGATCGAACTTTACTTCAAACATATTTAAAAAATCCGGAAATGACCGTACATTGTTTGAATTTTACTAAGTTGTGATCAGAATCATGTAAACGCTTCTACTATCGACCCTTTTAAAAAATCTCTGCAAGCGTTTTATAGTCAGAGATGAAATAAGTGTGACGGCCATGTGATAGCAATTCTCCCTAAAAAATAAATTGAAGAATTGAAAGATCAAATGTTCATTTTTACTTTCCTTTCTGCATTTAGAAGTAAATATGAAACGAAATTTTATTGGTTGTTTTGTAGAAATTAAAATAATCACATGCACACCCTACCTCGTCAAAAGTAGAAGCTGTGACCTACCATTTTCTACGGGAGGTAATCCAATACAAAGTAAAAAAAAAAACATAACCATTAGGAAGGATAACTCTATCTAAAGTCTGTTTCTTTATTTCCATCAAGTACACTGTATATACTGACTCTTGAAGGTTCATGTCATATTTCTGTTTCAGAGGTAGTTTGTATTCCCTGATGAGGAAAACTTGTAGAAGTCATTTTATAATAATCCGAAAAATAATAATCCAAGGCAAGATGTAGATGATGTAGACTTTTGAGTCCAAAAATAGTGTCACTGTGTTATACAATAAATATGCAAGTTGAAGGAGTCAGTTGATGATAAAGGGAGAATATTCCATGTTTTCAATCCAGTAGAAAGTGTAATTCCACAGTTTTATCCATCATGAAATAAATGTTAACCGGCAGATATTTTATGTCTATATCCAGTATGAAGTGTATGGTAAATGACTTTAGGTCCATGTTGTTATAATCAAGTATGAATTGAAGTGTAGATTCCATATAGCATTTCATGTAGAAATTTGCATATCCCTTCAACAGAGAGGTAAATTTCTCAATTGCAACATATGTAATTATGTAACTAAATTTTTTTTAAATCAAAGCAACTGTTACAAATATTTAAATCAGTATGCTGCATAAAAGCCAGCACTAGTCTTACTGATTATAACAAAGGGAGAACTTACAGAGAGTCTATAATAATAAAAATACTAGTTATTTGAGGTAAATGAAAGAGTATTCCAGCTGTTTAAGAATTTTTAAGATTGTGGAAAAGTTATAATGAAGGTTCTAACATTTGTAAATCCTTTCATTTGAGTTGTGAATATAGAAAAATATATTTTCTTGAATTGCATCAGCTTTTAGGGAGAGCTACAAACTGTATATTTATGTGGAACTTCTTTTGTAGGATATGGTACAAGAAAAAATGTGACTCAGAGGTTTATGCAAACAATAAGATTCAGTAGTGCGAAAAACCCGCGCTGACTGATTTTGTTTACAACAATTTACCAACACAGTCCAAATTAAGCATCCATCACTTTGTAGGTAAATTCAATGTCTTGTAAGAATTTAGGCAGATTCTAAGAATTGAAGACAAATGATATAGACTAAAGGTACATTTAAATGGCTCAAATCAATGTTTTTATCTTTATAAAATGTTTCTCCTCCATCAGTGCTGAATATCAATGAATAATAGCTATATATAAAGTGCAACATCAAATAGGAAAGAGCTAAAATTTATGTTTCTTATGAGCTAGGCTTGTTTCTGTGAGAA